GGAAGGCAGAAGGTATGGCGATGGATGGAGGGATACAGACCTAACTAGCCGGTACCACTCACCTAAGGAGCCACAGGGCAGTGATGTACCAGCCAAGGAATGGTGCAAAGAACTGAGCGACTCCCCCAGATAAGTCCAGACGGCGACTTGTCTCCTTCTTTTCTTCAGTTACATGGCTCACAGTTAACTGCATCCGGGTCAGCTTTGTGATTGCTCTCTTATTGGAAGAACAATATAAAAAAATGCTTCTCGGGGAGACAGAGGTGCAGTCCTGTCTCTGTAACACTCCCGCATATGCAGTCTTGGACAGTGCACCACCTCCCTCTTGCTTGTCATCGTCCCTTTTCAGTGTGAAGAAGTGGGAAATGACTCTGATAGGTCTATAGTATTTCCATAAAGGTCCAACCTGACAATCATGTTGACTGGGAAATTGGTAAGAGAGCACATGCCTTTTGTTGATGCAGGGCTTCTTTTTATAGTCCAGCCTGCCTTCAAATTCATATTAGGTGACCCTGTTGCTTCGGTTCACAGGTGCTGGGATTACAAGTATAGATCACTAGGTTTGGCAAGATCATTATCCTTTTTATATAAAATAGACAGGTTTTTAGTTCAGGGAAGCCTACCTTAATCTGCATTTTACCCTATATATATTCAAAATAAATAGCTAGTCTTGCAAATTGAATAACCTTTACAGATACTAGTTTTCTTTGTTGTTCTGTTCTTCCCAAGTTTTTGGTTCCCTGAATTGCAATGTCACCAAGTTTGAGTAGTTATGGTTGGATGTCTTTTCCTTTTGGAATAAGTTGTATTTAATCAAAAGTCCACAATTAAAAAAAAAAAAAACAAACAGTTGGGCAAATTGTGAATGGCCCATAGGGAATTAAAACAAAGGAAGCACATTTTATTGAAAATAAAGGAGAAGAAATTTGAGGAGTAATAAATAGTAGAACTAACCCTGAACTGCCTTAGGATTTGGGAAGAAAGAATAGAAACATCCTGGGAAGTTCTCTGTTGCCATTTCTGTCATGAGGATTTTGTCTTATTTTATAATAATGAAATAGGACTTTAAATTCTAGAGGTCCCTAAATTCATTCTTTTGGATAAGTTCTCATTTGCAGTGAATTTTTAAAATCTAATAGATTAGCAATTTTTGTGGCTATTATATTTAATAGTTATTACACAGGACATTACAAAAATAATAATATTAAAGTGTTTTTAAATTGCATATTGTCTTTCATTTTTAATTGTCTTTAGGTTTTTAGTCATCTAGGCTTCTGGTTATTATGAAAAACAGAGTTAGTGGAAATCTGTGTTTCTAACTTAATTCTGGATAACAAATTTCAGCTGTTTGACTGTAGTAGAATCTTGATAATTTGGATTGCTTTTAGAGTTCTGAAAATTCAAAAGTGCGCGTATTTAAGTTAGCATGAGTTTATATTGAAACAATTAACTTCAGTTAATCTCAGGTTGAAAGCTATTTAAATTAATAGAAAATAAACTAAGAGTACTGATGCTATTAACATCCATTGGGTGCTCTTAAGGTTGTGCATCTTCAAGTATCAGTGTTCAAGTTTCCTAACCACCAAGAAGAATATATGTCAGGAGAAACAAAGTATTTTGAGTTACTTAATCACATTATATTTTTGTAGAAATGCCAATTATTTTGTGCAAATCATCAGGCAAAGGACCCATTATTGCACACCACTCCACTTTCTAGCTAGCATAATCACATCCTGGGTCAAAATACTGAGACACAAATGACTGTCTTGCTTCACTAAATAGTGTATGGCAATTTTTATCGAGGCTGAGAAAAGTAGACCTGCTCTCCAAGGCAGACCAAGGCTGCTAGTTAAACCACAGTACAAATTACAGTGGAAAATTAAAGTCATGGTTAGTAGTTGGGGGCAGCTGGAAGACTTCTCCAAGAATTTAAAAGTAACATTGTGGGTTCTAGTTTTACTCCATAATTAAAGATCAGAGGAGAAATCTCCCCTGAGAAATACTTTGCCAGGAACCAAAGGACTCCTGGAAAACCATCAGAAATACACCTCTTAATGAATTCTCTTAGTTTAACTAACTCTTTTAGTCCTAACCTCATGCTTTTCAAATCATTTTCTAGTTATGAATTGGTTTCCTGTTTAGGTCTATGTAAAAAGCAGCATTCAGGCTTTGCACACAGACTTAGGTACTACCATCTAAGACATTTTTATTTTTGTCACAAATCAACAAATTGACATCCTGACATTTTATATCAGTTTCCTGAGGATGTTTAAGAAACCTCCCTGACAGATCTTCTTTCAGTGTGTTGGAAATATCTCTGGACCAACATTCTGACATTGTAAATTCATTATATTTGTGAAATGCATGCCCAGAAGCCTAGTATGGTTCACCCTGCTACCTACCCTTTAAATGACCCATCATTTAAAGCTTTGCAGAACAGACATTCTCTGAGGCATTAACAAAAATTGCAAGTCAAGATGGATACAGAATGAGCTTTTTTGTTGTTCCAAACCATGACGATGATAAAGAATGATGTTAGTATATAATTACCCCGGGAAGTGAACACATTTTTCTCATCTCATGCCACTGAACTTTTCTCTACAATAAAATTTACTCTCAGCTATACTTCCTAAATCATTTTGTTAATTCTTGTATAAACTGGATATGTACTATGTTGGTTATAAAATGTAGAATTAATATTCATGCAAAAACAACCTATTGTTATTGAATAAGTAAGGCATGTTGGGAATTTTTAAAACAAAAGAATATTTTAAAAGAATATAAATTCTTTGTAATAACACTACCTATAGGTACTTTGTAGTTTGTGCTTTGGAAAACCTGCTTGTTTCTTGTAACTAGTTTTATATTTAATAGCTCCTGTCAATATGTTTTGTTATTTTTGTGGTATATACACTTCAATTAGGGGGAGAACTGGGACCTTAGAAATAGTCATTAAATGAGGATGTATGACAGCGCCACAGACGACATTTGCTGCACAAGCCTGACTCGGTTTGGGTCCCTGAAATCCATGTAAAGATAGAAGGAGAAAACTGAGTTCACGTAGTTGTCCTCTGCCTTTGACATGCATGCCATGGAATGCACTCTGCCTCCAATACATACAAACACACACATGCATACACATATACACACTCATGCCTGTGTACACCTACACACTAATAATAAGTAAAAGCTAAAGACATAGTTACAAAACCTTGTTAACAAATAGCTCAGTGACACATAGAGTCTGGTTTGGGTAGATTTACAAGGTATTAGTAACAGATCATTGAAAGTCTTGGACTAATATGTCTTCCATCGAACTTCCTATGTAAGCTTAAGTATTATATTCCCTGAATAAAATAAATTTCTTCCTGTTAAGCTGGCTTCCTGATATGTGTGAATTATCCCTTTCTTAACCATCTCTTCTATTAACTAAGAGAGTCAAGGCTGAAAGATTCTCTTCTTCTTCAGAAGTGCAAAGATGTTTCTCCTAACTTACCTTTATAGTTAAATTTTCATTTTTAACTTGAGAATCTCTGACCTGAGTCCATGATTTAAGGCCTTCATTGGCTCTTGGAATTTACCAGAGTTCCTGCTTTGGGGATGGCCTCAATACACTTATAAAATGGAACTGCTTTTTTGCAAGAGACATGTGTGAGCTTTAAGTTGATATATGAGTTCTAACAAGAAAGACAGAATCACATGCGTGGACTTGTCTGAGTACACCCTTCGGAGGCAGCCAGAAGTTCATGCTCTTTGTGGGAGAAGTGTTCTGGTCCCATGAGGAACTAGTCTTGCTCCTGTTTTAATCAGATATTTACACTTCTGCAGACAGAAGTGTTCTTCAACAGAAAGTTGGACTTGAAAATTATGCATTTGTGCAGCAATGTTAAAGGTATTTTTTTTTAAAGATGTTTTAGAGCTTTGGGGTGAGAGACCACATCATAAGCTTATCTGCAAGGGACTTTAAGGGTCCTCAACTGTTAGCAGAAGATTGTGGTACAGGAACAATTTTATCCTGCCATAGGAATATCGAAAAGTGCTTGGCTCCAAAAGATGTGGCCAGTGGATCCTCAGTGGAGCCCATTTCATGAATTTTTCCCAGAAATTGCAATGTTTACTACTGTTGACAATGGATAGAAAATGGTGTTTTGGCTAAACTGCCTACTTTATTTTTAGCTACTGAATGGACATAAATTCAGCTCAAACTCAGCATTTCTATTTAATATCTGTAAGACTAGTAGACTTCAGGAAACCTGCTTAACCTTAGAACCTTCATCTGTAACATGAGGATAACACCAATACCCTCAGTGTTGTCAGGATGGATGAGAACACATAAGCAGGCAAAGAATCAGCCACAACAATCAGTTCCATTGCTGTCTGTCCCCAAATCTCTGAACCTCAGAAAGAGGTTAGCCTCCATCAGGGTACCATTCTGCCCCATGGAGGGACTTACTATCTCTTTGGATGAATACACTTACAAAAGGATTTTGATTTTTTTAGGTGAGAAATAATCTAAAATCTAGCAATGCTTATGACTTCTAAATTACAGACATAAAAGTCTGCAATAGGGTTTTTGGTTATTTATTGATTATTATCAATTAAAATTAATTTGAATCTTAAGATCTTAGGAAGATTGGCCCTAAGGGGGGAGTCTTTTTATGTCCTAGGGTTTTCTAGATGACAAATCAGATCTGAACTTCTGTTATTTAGGCTTTCCAAAAACTGATTTTGCTTTACTTTCTCAAACATTTTATTCTCTTTATCAATTTCTTGCTTGTTCTTAATTTTATACTAATATTGCACTACTTTCTTCTATTTAAGATGTTCTTAATTTCTCTCTGTCTCTTTCTTTCTTTCTGTTTTATAAGAAGGAACAAATTTATTTGGATTTTCAAATTGAAATTATATTCAAAATATTCTGCCCAATCCAGTGCCTTCAAAATCTTTTCCTTGGAGAAGCATGTAAGAAACAGACTTAGCAGTCTCATTTCTCTCCACAGCATTGGCGCTGAGAACACATGGGAAAAGATGGCTGGTGCTAGGAGACCAGCAGTGAAGATGATAGTCCTTGGTCTCAGATGATTCTACACTGGATTCTTCACAGTTGTGTCACCTGTAAGAAGTGTTTCACCAGAACCCCTCACAGACTCAAGTGGGTGATAGTGTCAGTGCAAACTCTCACAATACTAGCCCCTTCCAGGAGCTCTGTAGATGCTAATTACGTTCATGTTATTATTAGTGTGGGCAAGCCACACACAAAGGTTGCACTTCAGCTTTATACAGCAGGTGAACTAGTAACAGCGTAACAATGTCTCCACACGGTATCAGTTTCCTACTGTCCTTGTCATTGTGAGGAGTTAGCACAAATTTGGTGAACAAACAAACAAACAAAACCAGAAAGTATTTTCTCTTGCAGTTCTGGAGGTCAGACATTCGAAACAGGCCCAGGGCTACAATCAGTGTCTGCAGGACTATGGTTTTGTTCTGAGGGCTCTGGTGGAAAGCTGTTTCTTTCCTCTTCCAGATGGGGAAAGTTTCTGGCAACCTGGAGTGGATGGTCCCCTCACTTGGCTTTGGTGTCTTGTGGCACTTTTTCTCTTACATCTGACCCTCTTGTAGTGCTTTCCAAGGACTGCATTGAGCCCACCTCTATAATCCAGGGTACAGTCTTGTTAATTTCTGAATCATAGCTGTGGTCCCTTTGGCCTCAAACACTCACAGGTTTCAGAGATTAGGAAGTGGGCATCTTTTGGGGGAGAGTGGACCAGGGGCTAAAGGTGTTCTTACTCAGCTTACCACAGACAAGCCGTAGGTGGAAAGGAAGAAGACATTTAAAAAGCAATTGAAGCTCAGGAAGTAACTTGCTTTTTAAAAAATTATATGTGTTTATTCATTTGTTATTTGTGTGTGTGTGATTGTGTGCCATACACAGTGCATGTGTGGCAGTGGTCAGAGGACAGCTTATGGGAGCTAATTCTTGCCTTTAGCCCTGTGTATCCTAGGTATTGAGCTTAGGTTATCAGGCAGAACAGCAGCTACCTTGACCCTCTCAGTAATCTTGATGCCCCACTAACTTGCTTTTAGTCAGCTGACAAAAAAGAATTAGTTAGTCAGCTTTGAAGTAAACTCCTACTTGAACACATCTTCATCACCATCATCATTACCACCACCATCATCATCATCATTATTCTCTCATATATTACATCCCAACTACAGTTTCCTCTCCTCTCCTCTC